AATGAGGAGAGATTAAATGAGGAGAGATTATCTTCAGCTTGGAGAAGAGGAGACTAAGGGGGGATATGATAGAGGTATATAAAATCATGAGTGATGTGGAGAAAGTGGATAAGGAAAAGTTATTTACTTATTCCCATAATACAAGAACTAGGGGTCATCAAATGAAATTAATAGGCAGCAGGTTTAAAACAAATAAAAGGAAGTTCTTCACACAGCGCACAGTCAACCTGTGGAACTCCTTGCCTGAGGAGGTTATGAAGGCTAGGACTATAACAGAGTTTAAAAGAGAACTGGATAAATTCATGGTGGTTAAGTCCATTAATGGCTCTTAGCCAGGAGGGGTAAGGAGTGGTGTCCCTAGCCTCTGTCTGTCAGAGGGTGGAGATGGATGGCACGGGAGAGATCACTTGATCATTGCCTGTTAGGTTCACTCCCTCTGGGGCACCTCGCATTGGCTACTGTCGGTAGACAGGATACTGGGCTGGATGGACCTTTGGTCTGACCCGGTACGGCCGTTCTTATGTTCTTATGCTTGCCAGGAGCCAATTACCGTAAAGAAGCACCAAGCTGCTACAAGACAAAAACTAGCCAACAAGCAGATCATGAGCTAGTTAAGCCAAAACCAAGCCCAACTTCTGTGTTTTTTCCATGGGTTTGCCATGTCTGCCTAGGATCAGCCCAGCCACTAGGTTCTAGGCTGCCAGCTGAGCCATGGGCATGCAGAGGAGTGAAAGGTACTCGTCTCTCCTGGGCCAGGGTGGCTCCTCTAAATTCTGCCCTTCCACAGGCCTGGATCAGGTGTCTGCTGTGAACAGTGAGAGCCCTCCCCTGGGCATCCATCTGCCAGTCACATTCGTCTCCCTGCTGCACCCGGGCTCCCCAGGACTCCTGGGTGGGGCCTGGCTCCCACACTGCCTGAGCTCTGGGCATTGGGTGGGGCCCATCCCAAACAGCAGGATCCCTGCTGCTTCCGTCTGAGCCAGTCTCTAGCAGCTCATCTGCAACTTGGTTTTGGGTGCTCCCAGCCAGCTTGTCTGAGCTGCATGCGGGGCTCTTGGGTGCTTAGCCCGTCCAACCAGCAGGGAGCATTGGCCACTCTACGGAAAAGGGGTAGCGGCTTGATCGCCAGAGGGTATGGGGGACTGGCTTCCCTGGGGTTGTGGAGGGAGAACACAGCGGCTGGCTGACCCTCAGCACAGGGGCCTGCTCCAGCCCAAAACCACAGGGAGACTGGCTGGGCAGATACTCTCCTATCCCTGGGGCAGAGAAGAGTCTTGCACACTGGCACCCAGGCAGAGAAAGTTTCTCCCTGGGAACCCCCTCCAATAACCCCAGCTGCTGGACCGGCTCCATCTGGACAATGGGGATGGCCGGGTGCTAGTACTGCCTGGCTGAAGGGGAACTCGCCCCATGCTGGAAACCGCAGGCACGCTCCTGCTGAGACCCTAGAAAAGGGAATCTACCCCGTGCCCTGCAGCCTCCTGCTGGGAGGGACGCTGCGTACCAGGGTTTGCTCTGAATCAGTGCCCTTGTGGATGCTCAGCTGTAACACCCCCCTCTGCTATCTGATTTGCTCCAGCCCCTCTCGATGTGCTGCCAGGTGCTGGAGCTGGGATTGCACAGGCTAGGCCTCCATCAGCTGCAGTGATCCTGCTAGTCAGGATCAGCAAAGGAGTTCGAAAAGCAATTCCAGGGCCTGTGCAGGGTGCCTTCATTCTGCGCTCTGTGCAAGGCCCCCTCTGCCTCCCACCAGCCTTTATACTCCCCACATTCACTTGCTCTTTAATCCCTCCTGCCCTCAGTGCATCCCCTCCCTCCACAACTGTTGAAGTCTGTGGTTTTACCGTTGCATTTTCCTACATTTAGAAGCTGGTTGTCCATGTCCCATTGCTGTGGCAGCCCCACGTGCAGGGGGATGTGCAGACCCGGCTCGACCAAAGTGCTGTCGGGTACACCAAGGAAACATTGAGGCTGTGAACAATGGTGTTTAACTCCAGTTGGGCTGGTGCAGGCTTTGGGGCTTGTCAGCCATGTACTTGGTGCCCCTTTAATGGCTCCTAGCAGGAGCCACTTGCCTGCCGTGGCATCTGCTCTGCCAAGCTGTGACCTGTGGGGGACGGGGGGTTGTGTACGAAGGCCAGGGTTTGTTGCAGCACTTTAGCAATAGCTGGAGCCGTTCTAGTGTTGCTTTCCTCCCTGGCATGTTTGGGCTGCACATGCTGCAGGCTGGTGGGACAGCAGGGGGCTGGGGGCTGCAGGCTGGTGGGACAGCAGGGGGCTGGGGCTTGTTGGGTGTGTTTAAGCGGGTGTGTGGGGGGTAAGTTAAATCAGTTTTGCACTGCCAGCTGGAGTGGGCTGCTTTTGTCCCTTTCCTAGTTGGAGTCCGGACACCTAGAATGTAGGGTGACCAGATGTCCTGATTTTATAGGGACAGTCCTGATTTTTGGGTCTTTTTCTTATATAGGCTCCTATTACCCCCCAGCCCCGTCCCGATTTTTCACATTTGCTGTCTGGTCACCCTACTAGAATGAGCCACAAGCATATTCTGCTAGCCACTGCTCCAGCATGTGCACTCTCAGGGTGTTACCGGGCTCCTCCTTGGAACCACTGACTAAAAGGACTGTTCCTATGTGCTGACAAGCCCCAGCAACCGCTGCCCTCCCACTACAGGGCACTCTGCTGGTGGGAGCTGCATCTCTCCCCTCTGTTTGCTGGAGATCAAACCCTCTATTCCTTTTGAGAAATGGGCACAGTGGGTGAGTCCCAGCCCCACTCCAGGCGGTGATGAAGTGGCTCGGAGAGCTGCCTGGGCACATGGGGACCTGCTGGGGGGGGGGAGGGAGGGAAGGCGGAGCCCCTTTCCATACAGGAAATGACTTGCTATCTGCTGAGAGCAGCACTGGTTTTCTTGGCAAATGTGTGGGTTTTTTTTTTTAAGGAAATTCCCCAATAAAAACTTTGAAACACTGTTGCAAATTGCCCTTTCCCAAGAACTCCTTGTCCTTAGTTACCCCTAAAAGCCCTGGGCTTCCAAGTTGCAGTTACATTTAAAAACAAAAAAATGAAAACCATTGAAAACTCTTGGAAATGCTTCACGGAGGGACCAGTGGCTGACTCGCCCCGCGGTGGTGCCTACCTGCCAGCAAGCACTTCCCCGCTGGTGACAGCAGGCTCCCTCCTCCTGGGTCGACCCAAGTGGTTAGCCCGTTCTGCGCTGCAGGTCGTTTCCGATGACCAGGAGCGATTGATGATGGCGCCAGGTGTTTGTTTACAATGTCCTGTTTCCCCAGTACAGGAGGAATCAGTCGGGTGTTAGTTTCTTTGCTCACAGCTCACAGCCTCTTTTAACGAGCACTTGGCCCGAAAGCTCTTGCTCTTACATGGCCATGCTTCTTTTCTGCCTTCTCTGGGCTTCTCTGGGCTTTCTTGCTGCTTCTATCACAGAGACACAGACCTTCACCAAACAATAGCCTGTGAAATTTCCTCTGCCCATTGGTTCAGATCCTGGGTTACATAAAGGAGTTTAATGCTTTTTACAACTATCTTAAAGTGTTAGTCCCAGGCTGAGAGAGAGAGAGAAGGTGGGTGAGGTAATACCTTTAATTGGACCAACTTTGGGGGGAAGGGACATGCTTTTGAGCCGCACAGAGCTCTTCTCAGGCCTTTCTCCAGACCTGAGGAAGAGTGCCGTGAAGTTTGAAAGCTTGTCCCCTCCACCATCAGAAGCTAGTCCAGTAAATGCTATTCGCCTGCTGTCTCAGCTATCTGTAATGAAGGGTGCTGGTTACACCCCCTGCTTTTAAACACATTTAACCAAACCCATAACATCCATCACCTCAAGGGATCAGTCTCCACATCAACCTGCAGTCAGAAATGCCTGTCTCCACTTTCTCCCTCTCACCAGAGGGAAGTCCGGCAAGATCTTGCCAACGTGGCATGTATGTTTCACATCAACTGGCAGGGTGGCATGGGATCCCCCTCTGGGAGCTGAAGCAATACAGTTATGGAATGGGTGCATAGACCATTGTATTCAC